AAATAAGCCTGGAGCAAAAATTAATATAAGACCCGGTCTTATTTTCGTGGAAATACGGGTAGTAACAACTGCACTTATTATGTAAAATGAGGAAGGGTCCTGAATTATCATGGCTGGAAACTCAGTCAGCTTCACTCTCCTCTCTTCTGGTGGGCACCTGCTTGGAAAACAAACCATTGTCTACTCAAAGTCAGTGAAACGTTTTCCAGAAGGTAACTAAGCTATTTGTTCCTCAGAGAAATGCTGGAAGGAAATAGACACAGTTGTGGGAAACAAGGCAATCTTGAAGTACGAAGACCGAGGAAAGTTGCCCTACACAAATGCCGTCATTCATGAAATCCAACGCATTTCAAACGTTGTTCCTCTTGGACTACCTCACGCCGCCATTAAAGATGTGCAGCTTTTTGGATATAAAATTCCAAAGGTAAAAGCAGAAAGGTTTCATTGTTTCTCCTGAAATGGAGTGTTGATGAATCTGCGTGTGATCACCTGTGTCTTCCTGACCTGAGAAAATAAGATGTTTGGGTTCTTTCTTTCTTTCTTTCTTTCTTTCTTTCTTTCTTTCTTTCTTTCTTTCTTTCTTTCTTTCTTTCTTTCTTTCTTTCTTTCTTTCTTCCTTCCTTCCTTCCTTCCTTCCTTCCTTCCTTCTTTCTTTCTTTCTTTCTTTCTTTCTTTCTTTCTTTCTTTCTTTCTTTCAACTTGGTTCCAGCTTCCTCTTTTTGCTACTTCTGAGTTCAGCGCTACTTGATCGTCCTTATTCCTTTTCACCTTCATCTGCCGTTCTTCAACCACATCTCAATGAGGTCTATCTGAAAGCTCATCCAGAGCCATGTCTGACAATGATGACTTTCATCAACATGACTTACCTGTGTTGGCTTGTGCAGGACACCATGGTTTTTGTCAATATCCAGTCTGCCCATCATGATGAATCTCAGTGGAAGTTCCCCAATGAGTTCAACCCCTCCAACTTCCTGAATGAAGAGGGAGACTTTGTGAAGCCGGAAGCCTTTTTGGCATTTTCAGCAGGTGAATTTCTCTCTTTCTCTGTCTGTCTCTGTCTCTGTCTGTCTCTGTCTCTCTCTATGTCTCTGTCTGTCTGTCTGTCTGTCTGTCTGTCTGTCTGTCTGTCTGTCTCTCTCTCTCTCTCCCTTCCTCCCTCCCTCTCCCTCTCCCTCTCTCTCAACTCAAAACTTCCCAGCCTTTCTTTAGAGACTTACGGAAATCATTTTGAGGGAGAACCAAATGGATCGAGGGGTTGTGATAAGTTCATTATCTGACTGGCTTCTCTCTTTCTCCTCCACTTTGCCTTTCCAGGGCCGCGAGTCTGCTTAGGGGAAATCCTGGCTCGGATGGAGCTCTTCCTCTTCTTCACCAGCATTCTCAGGAACTTCCAGTTATCGTGGTCAGATAAATATCAGGCGCCAGATTTTACACCACACTTTGAGGTTACACAATCCCCATCTCGCTTTAAGGTGTTGCTGAAATGTCGCCAGCTCTATGAATAGGTGTAACTGATTCAAGATCATCCCGTTCTCTCCAACAGCCAGTGGCCACCTCTACTTCAAATTCACCACAAGATCCTTTTCTGAAACATAAATAAAATGCTACCTTATGCAAAAATCATCCAGTGAAGGAACAATCTTTTTTTTTTTTGATGATGATGATGATGATGATGATGATGAATTTTATTTTCCAGGTCTCTTCTCTTTTTTAGGGTTACTGAAAGGAATGTGCACAACTTGTTTATCAAATGCTTCTTCCTGCATGATTCGATTCAAACTACTCCCACATATTGGCTGCCTGTTTTGAGTCATGTAGAGCCCCAGAAATAAGATGAAAAATGCCTTCCGCCAAGAATACCTGAAGATTATTGATAACTCTTAGCTGCCAATATTGAGTGATGCTGCTTGCCTGGAGCGGAACAGGTTGAGTTCTTGACATCCAGCTATTTCTACTGCTAAAGTACTGGTAGAAGATAGTTTTAACATACACAATATGTGGAAATGACATTGGATAGAAAATTGCCCTCCACAATATCAAAGTTTGTCTTACATTTTGGAAAAACTACCTGGATTTGACCAGCCCTGTGAGATATGTATAACACTGAATCAAATTTGCATTGGTTGTGGTAGATGAACAGATGTCCTCTATACGTGGGGCAAAATACCATCACCGAATTGTGACTACAGGACTGAAAAACAAACTACCCAACATATAATGTCAGAGCCCCAAAATAGAGCCTGAAGACTTTGCTGATTCTCTCTCTCTCTCTCTCTCTCTCTCTCTCTCTCTCTCTCTCTCTCTCTCTCTCTCTCTCTCTCTCTCTCTCTCTCTCCCTCCCTCCCTCCCTCCCTCCCTCCCTCCCTCCATCCATCCATCTATCTATCTATCTATCTATCTATCTATCTACCTACCTACCTACCTACCTACCTACCTACCTACCTATTTACATATCTATATCTAAACTAATTTCCTTGATTAGTTTCTTTTTTGTCCTGTCCTCTGGTGCTTTGGAAAATAAATTGTCCCCCTCCTCTTTGGGGCAGCCCTTCAAGTATTGGAATACTGCCATCATGTCACCCCTAGTCCTTCTTTTCTCTAGATTAGCCAAACCCAAAAACTTAATTGCATTTGATACTAGCTACTACACATTTGAATATACGGTGTTGCCTTTTGCTTGGTGAATTGTGGGACAGTGTTCTCCAGATTCAGAGGTGAAATGTTTTCTGACAAGTATGTAGTGCTTGACATTTTTTCCTGATGTTTGTTCTGTCCCAGCCTACGTACGTCCTTGTTACTTCACAAGGCAACCCCTCTTTTAACAGTAGGCTGGACAAACCAACCCTTTTTATTTGATATACAGTTCTGATCATTTCCCCACCAAACAAAAGCAACAGAACACTTTTCCAACGGATAGTTTGTTCAAAAGCAAAACAGAGCAGGAGTCGAAACAAGAAATAATTCACAGGCAAAACAAACAGACCATGATCCCTTGACCCTGAAGTTCTTTGCAAAAGGTTACCTCCAGCAATCAGCCCTGCCCACACATTCCCTTTTTGTTACGCAGCCCTCAAGGCATGGCTTCTCACTGCTTTCTCCTTCTCCTCTGGAGTCGACCCATTGCCTCCCTCTGATTTACTCGTGTGACCTGTCTACGATTACCAGTGTCTCTGAGGTCTTCCAGGTGTGCTTCCTCCGAGTCTGACTCATCCTCCCAGCACAGCTGGCTTACAGCTTGGTCACGAGTGGAGAGGGCATGTTCTTCCTCACTTTGTAAGTCTTGTAACTCATCAGACCCCTCCTCCTCTTCCTCTGATTCCCCGGACTCAGCTGCCGGGATCACAGGCTGGCACGGAATCACAACAATGTTTCTGATGTTCCTGATATTACTTTTCTGCTTGCCAAAGTGCAGTTTATGAAATACAGCTGGCATCTGAACACCTTGTGCCGTTCTTCCTGACTTAAATATTTAATCTGTGGCTGGTTTGCCAAGTACATTTCAACATGGTTGTTTTCGGCTGGCTGATTGTTCTTTTCATCCTATTCCTCTGTTTCTGGAAGAACCAACGTCCCACAGGTTTTCCCCCTGGACCACGGAGGCTGCCCGTTTGGGAATCTGCTTCAGTTCATTAAGAGGGACCCACTGAAGGAGTTGGATCATATAAGGCTCTTTAATCATTCTTCCATTAAACTCCAACAGGGTGAATCTGCCGACATTTCTGCTGCTCCAGCAACAACAGAAAGGGCGTGTGTGTTTTTGTTAACTTTTCTACGTGAGATCCAATTTTTGTTTCATCCAGAATTTGGAGAAAAATATTTAGAATCTTGTGGAGATATGAGAATGCCTGTCATTCAATCCAGGGGAATCCTCGTTCCTAATTGCATCAAACTATTTCTGAACAATTCGTTAGCTCTTTAAAGTGAATTTGGTTCTCCTTCCAAGTTTCCAAATAAAACACTCACCTTCCAAACATTTACTGGAAAAAATTGATATTTTAGATGGCTAAAGAAAGGTGTTGTTTGTCCGCACGAACGAATAGTTTATGATTCATTTTGTGTTGAATCCCAAATTAGTCGATTCTCTTTCCTCTCCTTCACCTGCCTTTAATTTTACAGTATTATTTTATATTTTGAAAGAAAATAAGACATAGATGAAACAACAATCAAGTAAAAGACAGATAAATAAATCTATTAACATAGTTCTCAGTTAATGACCATTCATTAAGTGACTGTTTATTATTGAACAAGCTGGGTACTCACAGGGGCTTGGTAGCAGACTTATTAAAAGATTTTTAATCAGAGAGCAATGCTGGCTGTGGAATTCTGGGAGTTGAAGTCCACATGCCTTAAAATTGTCAAGGTTGAGAAACACTGTTCTAGACTTCTGCCAGCTATGATAAAAATCCCTCCCTTGTTAAGTGGTCCCATTAAACTTTTGCATATAAAATGCTTACAGTTACACCAATGCATGACCCGGCAGGAGCATTGACTGAACACTTTGGGGAATGGAGTTTGGTGAAATCTCTTGAAATGTTTAAAATTAGCTCCCTTCTTCTTTTTTTTGTTTTTAACATTTAGGAATAATAATATCATAGAGATTTTGGCATTTAGTCAAAAAAAAATTTGTTTCTCATACCATAAAATAACTACTTAATCTATTTTTCTTATCATGGTAACCCTTTAGTAGTTGAGTATTCATTGTATTATTCCAGTAATTCTTTGTTCCTTTACTGATATCGCTGTATTTGAAAATGCATGTCTATCTGAAAAATAAAGAAATAAGTAGATTAATCGCTACTGATAAGCAACATGAGGTAGGAGATGACCAAGCTGAGCTTCCGGGAGGGGTCAAATGCATCATCAGTCTTGAGTCCCTGAGCGCCTGCAAGTGATTTAAATCCAGCCTACCTTGAATGCCTCTCTCGTCTTTTCCTTATTTCCCTTAACGGTCAGTTGGCCAGATTCTTGTAGAGCTTAAGCTTGCAATACATCTTTATTTGAATTTGCTTGAATATCCTGATTTCTCTGGTGCTTAACACCTAAAGATGAATGATGGCTGGATAATTTTTTCCCAGGTATCCTGACCTTAAGATATGGTGAAGTATGGGAAGAGCAAATAAGGTTTTCACTGATGCTTCTCAGGAACTTTGGAGTGGGCAAAAAAATCAATGGAAGAAAAGATCCTGGAGGAGGCCACTTGTTTGATTCAAGCATTCACTGAGAACATGAGTAAGCTTCTCCTGGGACAGGATGGGAAGGTTGGGGAATTGTCATCCCAGTGTTGTCGTTGTTTTCCAGAAATGCAATCCTATGCTGTAGTCTGCCCAGAATCACTTGATCGTGAGATGAGCGTCATAATTAATTATTAACTAAATTATTACTAATTAATTATCAATCACATACTGTGATTCTCTTCAGACAGGAGTCCCCTGGTCCCTGGTTGTATACCTATATTATATACCGGTAGATGTCACACCTGTGACAGGTTAAAAACATGCTTTTTTTGAAAAACAGCACCATCTGTTGGACATAAAAGCAACACACGCTTTTACCAGACGGAGCCACAGCAACGCGTGGCTGGGTAAAGCTAGTATAGAAATAAAATGCTATCTTCCATCAAATCAACCGGTGGATAATAGGCCTTGTTTATTATGATGATAAAATGCATTTTTCCAGGGCTCTGTTCTGTTTCCTTAAGATAATTGGAAGGAAGGAAGGAAGGAAGGAAGGAAGGAAGGAAGGAAGGAAGGAAGGAAGGAAGGAAGGAAGGAAGGAAGGAAGGAAGGAAGGAAGGAAGGAGAAGAGCAGAGTGCACTGCTGGCTCATCAAATGGGCCTTCCTGACCTGAGAATCTGGGTCTTTTTTAGGATGGGGGAGTTGAAGGACAGCAGAGTCAGAGTTTGGCTGTTCTGAGTGTCATTCCCACACTTATGTACCTTCACAGCCCTATTGGTTCAGCCCTTCACAACCGTCCCAGGTTCTCATGTGGCAGAAACGAATCGCCTAAACCTGATCTATAGTGATCTCTTTTCTTCTGTTGTATTCTGAGTCACTTTCCCATAGCAATGCCAGGTGTGACTCACATCGAGGTTTACCTTTCCCTGTTCTGTACAAAAATGAAAGTCAGAAGCCATGGACTGCAAGTTGTGTCCAGCAAACCCAGAAGGATTTGTTTTTACAATCCACGTAGGAAGAACAAGCCCATTGTCCTCATGCAAAGCTTTTTTCAGCCAACGTGGGATTTTCCAGTCCTCTTGCACAAGCAGCGTTTCCAAAAATGAAAGAAGCTGGGCGACGGGACAGAAGAAGAGAAGGGAAATCAGAATAATAACATTGGGGGAAACCCAGATAAACCATCCTCCTGACCATGCTTGGTCAGTCACAAGATTCTGGTGGAGCTGAAGAGGAGAAGTAACAGAAAAGAGGTAGAGGACTAGAGGAGGAAAACATGGTAATAATAATAATAATAATAATAATAATAATAATAATAATAATAGTAGTAGTAGTAGTAGTAGTAGTAGTAGTAGTAGTAGTAGTAGTAGTAGTAAAGTTGGAAGGGACCTTGAAGGTCATCTAGTCCAACCCCCTGCTCAGGCAGGAAACCCTATACCATTTCGGACAAATGGCTGTCCACTCTCTTCTTAAAAACTTCCAGTGTTGGCGCATTCACCACTTCTGGAGGCAGGTGGTTCCACTGGTTAATTGTTCTCACTGTCAGGAAGTTTCTCCTTAGTTCTAGGTTGCTTCCCTTGATTAGTTTCCATCCGTTGCTTCTTGTCCTGCCTTCAGGCGCTTTGGAGAATATCTTGACTCCCTCTTCTTTGTGGCAACCCCTGACATATTGGAACACTGCTATCATGTCCCCCCTCGTCCTTCTCTTCATTAAACTAGACATACCCAATTCCAGCAGCCGTTCCTTATATGCTTTAGCCTCCAGTCCCCTAATCATCTTTGTTGCTCTTCTCTGTACTCTTTCTAGAGTCTCAACATCTTTTTTACATCGCGGTGACCAAAACTGGATGCAGTATTCCAAGTGTNCACACACACACACACACACCGCAAAGCCATAAATAATGTAGACATCCCAGTTGCCGAGTTTCTACCGTGTGCTAAGCCAGCCATTTGTAGAAACTGCATGCTGATGGTGTTGTTCAACCAGCTACAGGAGTCTGTAATTCTTGGCAATGATTTGGGGAGCTGTTTGGTCCTTGCCATCTTCTGAGAGAAGCTGGCCCAACGTCACCTAGTTGTTGCATGGCTAAGACGGAACTGGAACTCCCAGTCTCCCAGTGTCTATGGAGATTCTGAGTCATCCAGGTCATAGTTATCCCAAAGATGCTTTTTTCACGAGGCAACTGGATTTCCTTGTTTTTCTCTGAAGATGTTTCGCTTCTGGTCCAAGAAGCTTCTTCAGAACTGAAGAAGCTTCTTGGATGAGAAGCGAAATGTCTTCAGAGAAAAACAAGAAAGTCCAATTGCCTCGTGAAAAAAGCACCTTTGGGATCCCAGTCTCCCAGTTTCCAGCCTGATGCCATAACCCAGGGGTCTTCCAACTTGGCCCTTTCATGACTTGTGGACTTCAACTCCCAGAATTCCTGAGCCAGCACAGCACAGCTGGCCCAGGAATTCTGGGAGTTGAAGTCCACAAGTCATCAAAGGGCCAAGTTTGAAGACCCCTGCCTTAACCACTGCATTTTTTTCCCCAAATGCAAACAGTTTTCCTCATTGACTTAAGGGTTAGGGTGCTGGTCTCCTCGGAATTGTGGCACAAAGCAATAAGAAACAAAGCTGTGTAGTTTGGTCTCTCTGTCGGACACTGCCAGACAAACATATCCAACCTGATTAACAAGACTGGTGGCCCAGTTGTTCATTGCTATTCTAGGCCTTGCTTTCCAAGTAATGTAATCGTTGTGGTATGTGGATAACCAACATGCCCTTTATTTGCAGGGGTTTTCCATCTGATACTCTGACTCAGTTACTGCTATTACTTAAAGTGCATTGCTCTCTCTCTCTCACACACACACAATACCTCATTTTTGAAGGATTGGGATAGGGCAGCATTAACTGAGCGTGCACGAGCATTTTGTGACATTAGTTGACCTACGTTTGGTACGCTTCGTTGTGCTCCATGCAGATGTGATCCCAGATACTGCCATTTGCAAATCATGGTTTAGGGTGCCATGCCGCACCACTTTCAACACAGGTGCCATTTTATGCCTCTTTCACCAAAGACTTCTACTATGCCCGCTTTCCACCATTCCTACCAACTGCTTGAGAGTTACCAGTTTGGAAGATTAGAGCAGGGGTCCTCAGCCTTGGCAACTTTAAGACTTGTGGACTTCAACTCCCAGAATTGGCTGAGGAATTCTGGGAGTTGAAGTCCACAAGTCTTAAAGTTGCCAAGGTTGAGGACCCCTGTGTTAGAGTGAAATTGATAAGAATTCTGCCTGTTTCTTCCCCTTTCAGTTCAAGTGACAGGTCACAGGCACGGCCAGGGGACAGTGAGTGACATAGTGTAGGAAGGAGTGCCCCCCCAATGCTCATCGCAACCTCTACCTAGCATTAATGACCAGCAACCCAGATTATCTTCTTGGTGAATTTATTCTCGAAAGCACCTGAGAGTAGGACAAGAAGTAATGGATGGAAGTTCATTAAACAGAGAGCCAGCCTAGAGCTAAGGAGAAATTTCCTGTCAATGAGAACTATTAATCAATGGAACGGCTTGCCTCTGGAAGTTATGGGTGCTTCACCACTGGAAGTTTTCAAGAGGAGATTGGACAGCTGTTTCTCTGGAATGGTATAGGGTCTCCTGCTTGAGTAGGAGGTGGGACTGGAAGACCTCCAAGGTTCCTTCCAACCCTATTATTCTACAGTCTATGTTCTATCTTCTAACATGCATCTAGCATGCTTCTGAGGAGATCTCAACCCACGTCCAAAAATAGCGTATTAGGTCAGTAGGATGGAGGAGGAGTTGTTGAGAAGCACAAGGAGTTGTTGAGAAGCATCAGGGGATTCCCTCTTGCTTCACCCAGCACACTTCCTCTAACTGGGCTATATTTGGACAAAGAGTTAGCATATTTCCAAAACAATGCTAGATTCTACCTTCCAAAATATCCTGAGTCACTAGCATAGGACATCTCTACAAGTTAGCCTTAAGTGGCAGGCAAAATGCCAGTTAAGCAACTTTAAAGCTGGCTAAACTTACCACCCAGATATGCACATAACGTGTGTATCCAAGGGAAATAAACAGTGGTTGGGTTTCCCACTCACTAATGAGGTTGCAAGACATGCAACTAGAAATTCACCCACAGTATTGCTGTCCTTAACTTGTCCCAAACACAATATTAATCTTTCCTCGGATTTCCATTTTCACATGGACTTCAAGGGGGTCTCCAAAAGCATATAAAAGCTGGGCTTGCCCATCCCTCTTGAGTGTCTTGAAGAGCATTGGCAAAACGGGTCTACGACAACTTGCCGAGGCCAACTCACTGTGGCCAATTTGCCATAGGACAATTTGCCATGGCCAACTCAGCATGGGACAATCCATTGCTGGACAAGAGTTACACTAATATTGAAAAAAAATAGTGGAATGGAATCATGGATGCCAAAGGAGAGACAAAATGAAATGTGAATGACAAAAATTAAAATATTTTTTTAACTATTTTAAATAGTAGAGTTGAATTGTTGAATTGTGCTTTGGAGAATACTGTGACCCCCCTCTTCTTTGTGGCAGCCCCTCAAATACTGGAATGCTGCTATCATGTCTCCCCTATTTCTTCTTTTCTTTAGACTAGCCAAACCCAGGTCCTACAGCCGTTCTTCGTATGTTTTAGTCTCCAGCTCTTTGATCATCTTAGTTGCTCTTCTGTGAACTTTTTCCAAGGTCTCAACATCTTTTTTGTAGTATGGTGACCAAAATTGGCTGCAGTATTCCAGTATTGCAGTACAAAATTGGCTGCAGTAAGAACAGTTGTAGGAATTAGGTATGTCGACTCTAGTGAAAAGAAGGACTAGGGGTGACATGATAGCAGTGTTCCAATATTTGAGGGGCTGCCACAAAGAAGAGGGAGTCAAACTATTCTCCAAAGTGCCTGAAGGCAGGATAAGAAACAATGGATGGAAACTAATTAAGGAGAGAAACAACCTGGAATTAAGGAGGAACTTCCTAACAGTGAGAACAATTAACCAGTGGAACAGCCTGCCTCCAAAAGTTGTGGGTGCTCCATCACCAGATTTTTTTCAAAGAAGAGAGTGGACTACCATTTGTCTGAAATGGTATAGGATCTCCTGCTTGAGTAGGGGGCTAGAACATGGACCCCCAACCTGTGGGTTATAGCCCACTAGTGGGCCCTGAGAGATTTGCAACTGGGACGTAGAAACGGTTGGCCAGCGTGTGCCATCTTTACACGCATCCTCAGTTGCACGAGCAACAGGCAAGCGTGTGCACGCTCCATTTGCCTGAGCTGCATGTGCACGTGCACACTGCTTGCGCAAATGGAGCTGAGCACGCGCAACATTGCCAGCCACTTGCATGAACCATCCCTTCCCCCCGATGGTCCGTAAAGCGAGAAACATTGGGTGACTCTCGACTAGAAGACCTCCAAGGTCCCTTCTAGCTCTATTCTTAGATTAGATTAGATTAGATTAGATTAGATTAGATTAGATTAGATTAGATTAGATTAGATTAGATTAGATTAGATTTTCCGAATAATTATAGATGTTTGGGACATCATTAAGCTGCCTCCAAATTTTCAGGAATTACTGAAACTAGTAACTGAGCTAAGTAGTGATGTTGCTGGATTTTGTTGTTGTTGTTGTTGTTGTTGTTGATTGGTGTTTTGAAGACTTTTTCAAGCTTGGTGGAAAATCAGCTGCAAATTATTATTAGGCATGAAAGAGTTACAATGAGAACTTGAACGGCCTGGGGGAATTTTGGCCTCAGTCAGCTGAACAAGGAGGAGGAGTTTTACAACACAGTTGACTCATTATCATCTGAGTTTGAGACTGTTTTGCTGGTCCGGCTGCTAGAAATTCTGTCCGCAAACTTTGGTTAAGATCATTCCTGTGTTTGGATCCTTGGAGGTAAGTCCAGATTTTTCCTGTAGGGAGGGACTTTCTTCCGCATTCCCCAATTCCAGAAGTGGCTTGATCTGCCTTGTGCAGTCATTCCACTATTGCAAGTAGCAAAATATACGTCTGAGTGTTTTACTGCTTAGAAAAGTAAATATTTTGCAAACTGGAGATAAGGCAAAGCAACGCTTTTAGGATTTAAACAACCGGCGGAAAGAATGACGTGCAACTGGCTAACTTCTTGGCTTGATCAGTGAAGGATGACACGTGGAACTTTATTCTTGCTGTATTAGGGGAATTTTTATTTTTTATTTCTTTCTTGTCAAAATGTCTGGGCTACTTCGTTTCAAAGTGGTTGAATCACGGTCCAATCACTTCTATGGTTATTACCTTGACATGTACAGTATTGCTGAGTGACTTTAAGTGGATTCCTTTTCTTATGTTCAGGAAAAATAAATCAGCTGATTAAAAAGGGTCTTTTAAAGTTTCC